ATAGGGACTCCCGTATCGGAGGTGGGCGTGCATCAAGTTCTCGAGGGAGTCAGGGTTAGAGTAAGACATTGTTTTAGGATGAGAGTTAGAATAAAGATACGGAAATACGTACCCATCCTGAAATTTAACGTCTGTCTTGTGGGAGATCCACGTTGCCTCGTCGAATAATTTCTTCATAAATTGACTCGAAAATGGTGGAAGCGGGACAGGCCTTCTTCTTTAGTTCCATCTTTCAAATGAAGTGCCAAATTCCATTATTTCCCCTCCTCCCAGTTGTTTGCGGCCTACCATATTTCCCTTCTCCAAAGTGAACACCACTTAAAGCACTTCTATCTGCAGAGGAATCAGTACAGTACCTGTGCTAACTCATGAAATGCCGAGGTCAAAATTATAGTGGACAATGTAGTGTATTTTTGGTGTCGTTATTTGTGTTTATTTGGTTGAAATAAGGACGAAAAGACCGTTTTCTGAAGGAAAGTTTGATACGGATCTGTATATTAAATAGAAAACGGGCCGGATTAAGGCGAAATCGGAGGATTCCTGATATTCAAGCAGTTTCCTACGCTATTAAAGCTTTCGGATGGAAATTCTTTGTGTAACCTTATTAATCTGTTTAAGAAGATTAATAAAAGGACGAAATTTTTTGATAAACTTTCGAACAAAAAGAAAAAATTAAATTTCAATATCAACAAAATCAGGGAAATGCAGATAAATTATTTCTTATTGTGTTCAGGAAATAACGTGCGATTCTTTATCTAAAAATTCTATTTTACAAATTTGTAAAGTTTTATGTTTCAAAATACCGAAATAAAAAAGTTTATCAGTGTGATTGTTTTACCAGACTGAAAATGCGTGTCGTAAACGAATATATATTGAGTTCGCGCGACATGCCGTCACTTTGCTCTGCTCTGTACATTGACGCTTTCCTACCGATTTTCACCTTAGCCTGTCTTCCAAAAACGGACTTCCCATTGGAAATTTTTTCGCACTTATCAAAACACATTGTCATAAGACGAATAAGAAAATTGCCATGCCTGAAAAACCTGATTTCGTGCTAGACAATCAATTTGAACAATCCACTATAGACAACCTGGCCATCTCCATGTCTAACAAAACTTCTTCTGTAAGTAATTCCAATGAACAATTAACAAAGTACTGATCTTTTGTATTTATTATCATTTTTCATTATTTTCACCATTTCATACGTCCCCCGTCATTACCAACCCTTATAGTTAGCCTTTTAAGCGATTTGTAATTTAGCCGTTTTCTTAAATTCTACTTTTCAGCGAAAATTAGTTAGATTTACGTTAGTAAATGTAAGTGTATAACCCCAGCTATGTCTTTGTTTTTAAGAACAGTCGTTTTTCCCTGAGCTTAGATATTGGGGAACGGATTTTCTTGTGCTAACACATGACATTTCATGGGTAAGCCCACCTACTGTATGGGAAGACTTTTCGAGAACGCCGCGTTTATAACGAACAGAAGCCATCGTAAAGGGAGAACTACATTTTATCTCCAGTAAGGAGCACCCCAACAGGGACGGTATCCTTTGGAGAGAGCCCTAAGGCACAACGGGACTAGTGAGTTCCGTAGCGCGATCGGTGAGCATCCCTCTACCATTGTATATACCCTGTCATAACCGGCAGGGCAACCAGCCTGTTGCTAAGGGGTCAGAGGCGTTGGGCTTCTAGACAACAGGTCGCGGGATCGAGCCCCAGGTGTCCCACACCTCTGGTTGGGTATGGCTGTCTAACGATGCTTGATATGCCGGAAGTGACCATTCCAGTCGCCCCACTCTGTGGTTTGACATGAAATATCCACCTGTGCTGACAACGTTTCCCCAGTAGAGGGTTGAACAGCCATACTACGCACCAAAATGCTGCCTATAGTACTGATAATGTGTTTCTCAAGTAGTGCGTCAAAAGAGGAGGTATGGGCACGGTAAAACGAGGTCCGATTCATCCCTATAGTCCACATTAAGGATCTATGCATATAGCATAATATAGGCGGAATGTTATCACCGACAAAGACAAGGGAGACTGGAATGGCCATTTTTTGGCTTTTTAACCGTCGTCAGCCAGTTATATCCAACCCCGAAATGTGAAGCACCTGGGGTTCGATCCCGCGACCTGTCAGTTAGAAGCCCAATGCCTCTAACCACTGAGCCACAGGCTCGTTGTCGTATCGGTTTCGGTCGGGAGTGTAGAATGGTAGAGGGGCGCTCACCAATCGCCTTACGGCACTCACTCATCCCGTTGTGTCTTAGGTCACTTCTCTCTCTCCTGACGAACAGGTCGCGGGATCAAACCCCAGGTGTTCCACACCTCAGGGCTGGGTTTGGCTGGCTGACGACGGCTAATAAGCCAGAAATGGCCATTTCAGTCTCCCTTGTCTTTGTCGGTAATGCTCTTCTGCCTATGTATCATGCGCCGTTGTGCGGCTGCTGGTTGGCCTAAAGAGAGACTCCATAAGGCACAACGGAACGAGTGAGTCCCGTAAGAACGATCGGTGAGCGTCCCCTCTGCCAAAATCAAAGAAGTAATTTGGACGCGTTACAGATTTCCCGATAGTCCTCTTAGATAAATCCAGGGATCTTGACAGAGAGATAGTATTCATCAAGCTGTGTCGCTGGTATAAGAACATCATGTCTTGTTACCGGCATATAACAATTATCGTGCGAATGTGAGACACGTTACTCAAACACGATACACCTAAGCTGTCACAGCCATTTTACAGAATTTAATGCTGCGGCAAGATGTTCGTCAATAAGTATAAGACCATTAAGGTCTACGGCCTTGACCAATAGTCTTTCTCTACGTCATCCGCTGCTGTGCGGTTGCCGGGAGAGAGAGCTCTAAGGCCGAACGGGACGAGTGAGTTCCGTAGCGCGATCGGTGAGCATTACTCTACCATTGTATATACCCGATCGAAAACCGACAGAGCACCGGGCTCGTTGCCCAATGGTTAGAGTCGTGGACTTCTAACTAACCGTTCACGAGTTCGAGCCCCAGGTGCCCAGCACCTCGGGTTGGACATGACTGGCTAACGACGGCTAATAAGCCAGAAGTGGCCATTTCAGTCCCTCTTGTCTTTGTCAGTAAAGCGTTTCTGTATACCAACGTTGTCATAATAAAATAATGCCTATGTGATTCCCAATCGATGCTTTAATGCTGCATCTTAAGCTAATTTTATTTTTAAAATAAGGTAATATCATACAAAAATTGATACGTTGGATAGGCCAAGAAGTCTCTTCGGAACTTCCTTCTGCCAAAATGGTTGTGGTGTGGAGTCCGATATGATCCACTAAACTGCAGTTATTCTTACACAGTCAGAAATATCAATTCGTAATTCAGACGAAAATCGTCTGGAAAATTGCCTTTCAAATGCAGGTTTTCAAAAGTCCCAAGCAAGATACTACATACCTATGATCTGGGAGAAAGCGTGAATGTTTCAGCACGTTAAAGCGAAGGGAAATTTCCACGTCAGAATAAATGTAGTAATCAAACATCATCCATGGCACACGCCCTATATGGACTGTTTTCAAAACAAGATAGCAGCCACGAAGTTTAAATTAAACGTATGGGAAAGTATTTCTGATGTGCAATTTTCGAATTCCCATGAAATATCGGGTGAATACCTCCCTTTTCGCGGAGAAGGATAGAAGAGGGCTGTATTTTATTTTTCAGGTCGGTCGAAAGCAAACAGACCTGAAGCTTACCGTCTCATAACATTTAACGTGGATATTGGTCATGATGGCAGATCGTTGACTCAAGGTTATTCGGCAAGGCAGCATTCTAAATAGAAAGCGAATAGTTGACCGCTAATGATCGCACACCCTTTCCCTGACAGGACACGCCAATCTTGGTTGACGCCAAGACCTTCCGTGACGTGCACCGTCATCCCGTTATGGGGCTGAAGCCCTATCGGCGTGAATCGTTCAGAACAATCAAATTTCTGCATGATTTTCCAAAGTTGGCCACAGTTTATCTTTTCCAAGGCATTGTCGGGTCTGAGATCTTAGTGAAGAGGCAAGTCCGCATCTTTTGGCACTTCCCTTGTATTTGACAGGCAGTAAATATTATGTCGGTTGTTCTACGGTATCAACTGAAGCCACGCTGGCTTTCCAGGGGAAGTCTGCATTCCTGGTGACTGTTGAGACTATTGAAACGTATGCGAGGGAATATCCTGCCGGCAATACTGAACCGGGAAACACCGCCGTGATTATCACAGAGTTTCCAAGTTATTTTCCGCTTGTAGAGATGGGCGGTATGTACATCCTAGAAGCCACATGGGATCGGTTTTTAACACCCATCTCATGGAACATCGCTGTAAGATTTTAAGATTTTTAAGGCCGTGCGATGTCCATGCATGCAAGACCGCACATGTCCGTTTACAGTGGTCCTCATAAAATCTACAACACGGTCCGGATCCATTGCAAAACTTCATTAAGTCTATGTGGTATCTTCTTAAAGGCATGGAAGAATATATGATTTTCCTTACGCGGAAAGCATGCACCTTGTAGACCGAAATTGCTAAACGTTGATGCAATGGCAGATCAGGCCGAAAATTATTTGGGAATTCGGAAACATTTATAAATCCTAAAAACACAACTTTTTGGACATAAAATATGAAGACAACATGATTTACTACCAAACGAGCAAAAGAAAGCATATTATGTGAGTGTTCCAGTTGTTTTCCGATAATAAATATTAATTTCCAACCCAACTATGCCT